AGGTTGAGGGAAGGCCGGGGAGTGGGAGCCAGGGCAGAGCGGAGCGGAGCAGACAGGCCAGCGCCCCGCCCCGCCCCGCCTCCCCTCCCCGCTTATCCGCGCCGGGCCGGGCCGGGCGGGAGGCGCCGGGAAGATGCTGCGGCGGCGGGCGCGGCCGGGCTGGGGGCTCGCGCTGCTGCTGCTGGCGCTGGCGGGGCCGGGCTGGGCGGCGGGGCCCGCGGAGCGGAGCCGGCCCTACGCCGTGCTGCGGAGACAGAACCTGGGTAAGGAGAGGCCGCTCCGCTCCCCGCCCTCGGGCTCCAGCCCGGCTGCCGCCTCAGACCCCTTCGCTCCCCGCCCCGGGCCGGGCTTGTCTCGCTGCTCTGCCCGGCGGGGGCCGGACTCTGGGTCCCCTGACAAGCTCCGTCCCCTCTCCGGGGCCCCGTTTCCCCGGTAGCCCGCGGCGGATGGGCCTCTCCAGCCGCCTGCGCGGGTCGGGGAGCCCCTCCCGGGAAGGGGCGCGGGAGGCTGGGGAGCTGGTCCCGGGATCCGGGCAGGTAAGTCGCCTCTGGCCCGGGGGCTTGAGGAGCGCCGCTGCCTGCCCCAGAGCCCTTTGCAGTCGCCAGGCCTTGCCCGGTCCTTGCGATCGCCCCGCCGGGCCTGGCCCCCCTGACCTGCTCGCCAAGCCTGGGAGAGACCCCGGCCCTCTCCGCCCCCCTCAGAGCGCCCCGCTCGCCCCCCGGCACTTCACTGGGGGGCAGCTCTGACCCTGTCAGAATAGGATGTTCCCGCTCTTCGGGGAATTACATGCTCTGGTTCTTTTTCCTTTCAGAACATTGATTTCTGGTTTGTTTAGTTTGTATTTTATTATACATGTAAAATAAAGTCAAAATCCGAACAAAACATTTTGCTTTGGACTAAAGTAATTTTTTCCCTGAGTTTTCTTTAGTAGAGAACGTTGAACTTTGCAGGGTTGAGTCCTAATTGGGGTGAAAACGTATTGGAAAGTCTCAAAAATCGTCCGCAAAATATAACTTCTGTTCTCCACACAACTGTAGCACTGACCCATTTTTCACAGTGAGGAAGGAAGGAGAGGGCAACCTGACATGCTGGTGGGTTTTCTTCTCCCCAGCTGTGAGATTGTCGTCTGCTATTCCCTCTTCCCTTGTGGCTACTAGCGCCATGTGGATTATTATTGTGTATATACAGCACAGTAAGTGCACACAGAGCTAGCCTAGACAGCCAAACCTGCTGCTGCTGATTTGATTGTTAAACCTTTTGAAATGATGTCAGCCTGAATGGAAGACCTCAGAAGGTCCTGCACAGCGCAGGCCTGTACATCGGTACACACTAGGTACAGCACGGGCACTTGCAGGGCAAGCTCCCCTCACCCTCTGTTGCAATGTGCCCCCAATTCTGGGGAGACCATCTCCAGAGGGTGTCTTCTATGGCCTACTCCTTGATATCTCTGAGATGACTGAAGTCAGGTGACTCGTACATTGATGGCCGGTTCTGTGACATGGGCAGCAGCGGTTGCTCAAGCTGTACTGAGAAGAGTCACATTGAGGAACCAGATATGTATTTGATAAATACATGTAATCTGCGAGGGACACCTTCCCCTTGTTGACCTCACCTCAAACCCTGCAGACTCATCAGTCTGTGCCCTGGGGGAATACAGTCTAATGTTCTTGAAGCTGGACAATGTAAATCACTCCTGACTGACTGATTCCTTCAAGTTCAAAGTTCTAATATTTACAAACTATGGCGGGAGTTCCTTTGTAGGTTTGTGAGCTGTGAGCAAGGGAAACATCATATTTTGACATTCTTGGAACAAAATTTTTTGAGTTTCCTTTTGAAATAACGTTTTGTTTTGCATTGCTTTTATTTTGCATTAGATTTTATATTAGAACACTTAAAAGTCAAAAGCAAAATGAAATGTTTCAATTGACCTGACTTTTTATTTATTTATTTTAATTTTCCTTTTCTGGAGAATTTTGAAATTTTCAGGTTTTGTTCCTAACTGGAATGAAAAAAATTTCAAAATCCCCAAAGCCTCCATGAAATGGAATTTCCATTCTCCTCACAGCTCTGCTTATCTCCAAGTGGGTGTGGGTAGCAATTGCAAACTGAGGAGCAGGTTGGATAAGTGAACCTGAGTCAGCCCTATGACAAGGCTGGTCTGATCAGGGGCAGCTCCAGGCACCAGCACACCAAGCGCGTGCCTGAGGCGGCAAGCTGTGGGGGGCAGCCTGCCGGTCACTGTGGGGGCGGCAGTCAGGGAGCCTTTGGCGGCATGCCTGTGGGAGGTCCGCCGGTCCCGCAGCTTCGGCGTACCCACCGCCGAATTGCCGCCGAAGCCGCGTTACCAGCTGGACCTCCTGCAGGCACGCCGCCCCTGGGTCTGATGTATCCAAGGCTACCCCAGCCTCGGTCTTCCCCTTCTTCTGAAACAAAGAATGTGCCTACCTAGGGGAGTATGTAGTCTGCTGAGGGGAAGGTGATGTGTGTATGCACCACAGAGCTTGGGGGGGGGGGGGAGAAGGGATAGCTCAGTGGTTTAAGCATTGGCATGCTAAACCCAGGGTTGTGAGTTCAATCCTTGAGGAGGCCATTTAGGGATCTGGGGCAAAAATCTGTCAGGGACAGTACTTGGTCCTGCTATGGAGGCAGGAGACTGGACTCAATGACCTTTCAAGGTCCCTTCCAGTTCTAGGAGGCAGGTATATGTCCTTTAGTGGTTGCAGGCCCGCTGTGGGTTGTGATCCTAAGAACCCCTTAGTGCCAGCCAGCAAGGGGGTTACAAGAATATCTTGATTCTAGTATGTACATTCTGGTTCACCAAAGCCTGTTGTAAGGTCTTAAATGAAAGCCAGGGTCACATTAGTCATTATTAGTTGTATAGATATTATGCCAGGAGTTATGCATGTATACTGAAAATGTGTTTAAAAACCTGTATCAAGGCAAAGATGACA